TGCATTTCATTATGCTCTTATTGATTTGTAGAGATAAACCTTCGTATTTGTCTTTTGTAGGGTTTTAAAAAAATACTCGGGAATTCTGATTGGGAGGACTTGGAACAGGTAATTGACTCTAGGGCAAACTACAGTGTGTAGGGTATTGATATGTGGTGAAGAGGGCATTGAAAAATTGGTTGCATTGTAATTTGAGGGGAAAGATCAATTTAAATGAAAACCTATGATCTTGTCTCTGGTGTGTTTCATGCTGTCAACTTTCATCAACTTAGATACCCATAGAGTAGGGTGGAAATACCAAATTCATTCAACACTTAAAATGTATTTCATTGTTACTGTGAAATATCTTTTTTCTTCTCAAATTACTTTTTAAGAAAACTATTCTTCCTTTCGAGAGGAAAGAATTGCAAGCCTGATAAAGCATTTGTTGTCTTCCTGATATTATCAGCACAGAAAAAACAGTGACTGAGATGTTCGTACATATTGCAGAATGCCCAGTGCGTCAGTTATTTTGAGTCAGGTTTTGTTGCTTATAATACTTTCTTTTCAGCTTAGAAGGTACAATCCATCACCCTTAAATGAAAAGTATTACTTTGTTACACTGTGCTGACTTACTGGTGGCTTTTAAAAAAATCTTTCGCATGCTTTTAGTAATCAGTCACACCTATTGCTGCAAATTCATTTTTATTCTAAAGGTGGACTTCTTGTGTAATAAATCCATGAGGGAATACTAAAAGGCGGCCACTTTCTGAATAAATCCTGCTCGCAAAACAGATTAGGTGATGGTGGACAGAATTACAGTAGTGCTGCAGTGCTGGACCAAACGCAGCCCAGTTGCCTCGTTTGGTGTTGCATCTATCTGTATCATCTAATTTCTTCTGCTTCAGAGACTGATTCTGCCCACGGGGTTAGGGTGAATCCCAAGTAGTGTGTCAGTGCTTGACTTGGGCTTTCAGCTGGGGACAAAGGGAACTTTCATACAATTCTTAAGATACTCTGCATTATGAAATCCTTCTGTCGTTGTTAGCATGTTCCTATAAACTTCTCTTTGCTTTACTTTGGATCGGTGTTGGGGCAACTTGGGTATTGGCTTTCCTATTGTGAACACCCCAAGGCAGGTGATGGAATATTTTTGGGGGGGTTACAGCTGCTAAATAGGGAACTGTGTAAGTGCTGTCCCTGTTTCTTAGAGATAAAACCAAACCTAACACTAACAAACTGCTGCAACAATAGCATGCTTTTGTGAAACTTGCACAGGTAGTGCTTTCACAAGCACCTGTGAAGCCTGTCTCAGAAGAAGGTAACAGATAAGTCGTATCAGTTTGTCATCTAGCATGCTTAAATACGAAACGTGTTAGAAAAAAACTGTAAGCTTCATGATGCTGTAGACTTAATTCTGTGGAGTTATAGTTCATAATGGAAAATCATAACTTCTGTGACTAGATTTCTTGTGTTGCATTGCACAGTATTTTGTGTCAGTATTTTAAATGGCATTCTGAATTTGTGTTTCAGGAATTGCCAGAAGTGGTTCTCTTAAAGTTTTTTCGACCAGAAAACACACCAGTACCTGCAAAACCAACACCGGAGCAGCTTTCTAATCTTATCAAGACAAGTCTTCATTATCCCGAGTCTTTCAATCATTCTTTTCATCAAAAAAGGTTAGTGCAATGTTTTCTTTAGAAACTTTTGAAATATTGTTAATCTGACATAAATCCAGTTGAGAGATGCTGTGTGGGTTATGATATAAAATACAAGTCTGGTATGCAAGGATGAAATCTCGCTCGATTCTTAAACTCACTGCTTCAGAATTTTATGGGTGAAATTAAACTTTCATGTAGAGAAACAGGCTGTAATACCACAGTTCACAGTTTTAATGTTAACTAGTAGCGTTACAAAACTTACTGAAAGCAAAATAAATACTTTACTGCTTTTGTGGTTTTTTGGTCTTGGAGTAAACAGCATGACTACTTTGAGAAGCTAGACAGCAAGTAAGAGGCAATTTCAAGTCAGAAGAACTGTTATGTCTACAGCATCTGACTTGCCAAGATTAGCTGCATGTGATCCTGATTTATGTCAGAAGGAAAGGTGGTAACAGTTTAGATCAATGGGGCTTGTCTCCTGGAAGAATATCAGAATTAACCTCTGTCAAAAATCAGACTGCTAGAGTGAATTAGTTGGAGCCTGTAATATGCATAAGTCTTTCAAGGTTAAAATGATATGAACAAAGCTCTCTGTATTCATTTCCAGATATGAAGTGAATTGTACTTGAAACGTAAAGATACCTATTTAGGTTCGAATTGTTTTATCTGAGAACTCTACTGTGTTATATTAACTGAAATTTTAGAGGGCAGCATAAGTAGGTTGCCAGAGGAAAGTATTTCTTTATAAAATCTAACATACAAATGTTTTATAAGGTGGTGTATTTTAATGACAGTTACGAAGTATGAATTACTCCAGTAACAAGTTTATATCTTATTTGTTATAGTTGCTAATTGTTCTTTTCTTATTAGTCAAAGTTAGGATATTTAAACTGTTAAGCAATGGCAAGGAATTCCAGTGACATAAATCACTTACTGCATACATAGAGCTGTTCCAGCAGCAGTAGTTTGTGTACCTACCTGGGAATATTTTAGGGTCTTTCTTGCTGCAGGAGTATTTATAAAAACAATCATACTAACACTGAACAAGCAGAATATCAACTAACTGTATTAAATTTATTCAGGGTAAAGGCTTAATTTAACACCAAATGTGTATGTGCTGTCTGTTCCATTTGGGCATGGTTCTGGCTAAAACTTCAGGCCAGGTGCCAGCAATTACTCTACAGGAGGCAGCGCAGAAGAAAAGCATCTAGACAAAATGTGCTGAACAGTGATTCAGAGTAGCATACTCGACCATGTTATCCCATTGTGAAATGTCTCTTGTCATAACAGTAGATTTCCTGTAAATTAAGATATTACATATGTTTTTGCTAGCCTTTCTTTGTCGAAAGGAAGGTGGTAACTTCGTGTGGCTCAATTAAGCCAATGCTGTTTGCCTCAGTAGCATTTATTATGAGTAGCTCTAGTCAATGTGAATTATTCTATTGATATGTACACTGTCTGACTGTTGCGTAATAGACAACTACATGCTAATTTTATATTACTTGAAATTTATTGTAAGAGTATAATTAAGACTGTCCACAGTAAGACTTTTTTCCTTTACTATGGAACTATTTCTCTTCACAGCCTCTGTCTGGTACCTGTCACTCTTCTACTTTCCAATTGTTCCCAGGCAGTTGTAGATGTGATGATTGATTTGCGGCATAAAACAACGAGGTAATGTGTGACTGTTAATAGAAGAATATTTTCTGAGAATGCTTCTTAGTTTTGTAATGTTTTAACTGTATTGAATAGCCAGAATAGGATTTTTTTCAATGGTGGCTTCTCTGAAATAATGGAAGGTGATAAAGGCTTCGTGCAGTCAAATGGGAGTCTTCAGTCAGTGCTCAATTTTACTTTGGTTCTGACTATTGCTAAGACAGGACCTTGAATTATGATTAAAGTAGTTAAACTCTGCAGATCTTTTCTAAGAAAGTGGAAATACTTTTGAACTAGTGCAATACGAGTTTCAGCAGCCTTACTTTATTGAACAGGTGATGTTGGGTTTTCATTTTTAAAATATCAAGTAATTTGTAGAAAAACAACTTTTGAAGTTTAAGCAAGTACTTCCTCCTTCAATTTGGCTAAATGTCCTAGAACCTTAGGTATTTTTAGGACTTCCCCTACGCTTATCAGCTGACTCTTATGACTGGCTTTTTGCTTAGAACAGTAGTTCTATGTGTGAAAGTATTAGAAACAATTCATAAAACATTTCCTCAGTGCTGAAAGTTTTACTAAGGATTCTGTGGAAGAGAGAATTCGGTACCATGATATACCACTGTTAATTCTTCCACCTTTGTTAAAACAAGGCAATTTAACTCATAATTTGGGTGACACCACCTCTCCCCTGCCCCCCCAGTAGGCATAATGCTACTTGGTCTGCTTAGCAGAAAATGGGCCTTGTGAGATCCTTGACTGCAGGTTTTTGGCGGGGGGAAGGCAGATTGTGAAGACACTGAGGTAGGCTTAGACATGGGGAACACTTGCTTGTTGCCAACAGTCTGTCCAAGTAAGAAACTAAAGCCCAGGGCATAATACACAGGTTCAGAAATAGAGGACAGAAGACTTAAGTTTGTTACATTTATCAGTTAAGATTAGGAAGCTATTCACTGATCTGGTGTGTTTTCACAAGACAGTCATGTTTTCTACTGTGGGTGACCCTGCTTCGGCGGGGGGGTTGGACTAGATGACCCACAGAGGTCCCTTCCAACCCCTACTATTCTGTGATTCTGTGATTCTGTGATTCTATGTCTGTGAAAGGATAGTGTAGTTGTGCACAGTCATGTTTTGCAACAGTGTTGTAAGACATGTCTGTGAAAGGATAGTGTAGTTGTGCCTTGAAACTTCCTAAAAACAAAGAAAAAAGCCAAACACGCCTCCCACCTCCAAACCAGCATTAATGCAGTGTCTGTAAAGCAGCGTATATCCATGGTGGCTATTTCTGTGTGACATGCAATCTGATTTAAAAGTCTAGTTCGTGGGACAGGCCCAAGAATACCTTCTGTAGTTATTCCAAAAACTGTGACAGTTTGGATCTTGTCACTATGTCTATTGTGAGTGTTGCGTGTTGGTTATATAAAAATCTGGAATACACTGGAATTTATCATTATACATCTATGTATAATTAATATTCTTTGTATAGCGTAGGGTATGTTTGGAACCAAAGAAATCTTTTAAAGTTTTGTACGAATTCATCGGGGTCAAGGGGGAGAGCCGCTGTAAAGGAGTGTTATGTGAGAGTCAAAGCTTTAACACTAAAATGGGTTTGTCGAGAAGTAGGGACCCAGAGATAAATTGAGCTGATGGGTGGACACAGGGATCCACAGGAATACCCAAGGGTACCTTAGGCACTGTGTCTCAGTGTACGTATGTTTGTTGGGATGGGTGTGTGTTTGTGGATGTAGATATAGCAGGAAAGAGGATACAGACACGACCTGTTTTAAGCTGTGTTTAGCATCTTGATAAACTGTTAAGCGCAGTTCTGTCTGTACCGATGATTGCAGCTGTTACCCCTCCAAAGTCTAGATTTTTCTTGCTATAAAAACCTTAATCTCTGAAAGATAAGGGATGGTGCTGGTGTGGGAAACAAAACAAGCATGATGCATTTGGGGAAGGCAGTGACGTAAGAGAAGCTATTGCAGGCAGGTAGTAGAAAAGAGTCAGCAACTTTCAAGTCATCAAAGATGACTGACGGTTGGCACTATTGCATCGGAAGACTGCCAGAATAATAACATAAGTTTCCAATTCCTGACTTTTGAAAAGAAATTTTCAGAAAGCATTATCGAGCATCTCTTTGTAAGGGGCCAGTGACAGACACACTGCATTCTGAAATCTTGGGAAAACTCAAGGTTAAGGGAGTCATGTAAACTGGCATGTACACTTTGAATACAGAGAAATAACTTTTGTTATGTTCTTTTTCAGCCCAGAAGCACTAGAAATTCATGGATCTTTCACATGGCTTGGGCAAACACAGTACAAGCTTCAACTGAAAAGCCAGGAGGTCTATAGCTTGCAGCTGAAAGCTTGCTTTGTTCATACAGGTGTCTATAATCTTGGAACCCCCAGAGTATTTGCCAAGCTAGCGGACCAAGTTACTTTGTTTGAACCCCCCCCCAAAAGACAAAATAAATGGGATTCTTTTCTTATATTGCTGGTTGACATTTTGCTGCAGTTTTTTGAAAATAGCACCTCAAACATCTAACTTGTTACTAAAGATTGTGTAGGAAGGACAATAGCAAAATATTCAGACAACTTGTCAATTTGTTTCTCAATGCAACGCACGGTGGACTGAAAATACGTTTATCCTTTTATAATGTATTTCTCCTCTGGTAATTAAGATATTCATAATACAGAATATTCCTTTACTCCAAATCTGAACATATTTGTATGTCCTATGCCCTGTCAAAAAATGCAGCTTGACTGCTGTTACAACTTCCAGCATGGTGTGTTTAATATTTGTGGCTGTATTAGAATATGGTTCAGGAAGAAACCCTCATTGGCTTTTTCCTGTCTGAAGCCATTAGTCATGATAAATCCCAACCTTACTGTGAAGTTCAATAAGGTGTCTCAAATCCATTTCTGTTTCTCAGTTCTTTAGTTTAAAATTTTGTTTTTAGTTTTCATGTTTATGGAAACTATAACTTTTCAAGGTTTACTACAAGTCCCACCTAAGGTGTTTAAAAAATAATTTCTTCAACCAGGTTGAGTATTTTCTCATTCATCTCAACACAGAATGCACTATTTCACAAACATGAGATTGTCATTTAAATTGTCACTTACTTTGTTATGTAACTATAACAATTGATCTGTTTTAAAAAGAATCTACTCAAGATTTTCAAGAAATGTATTATATTTATAACAAATGTACTGTAAATAGAATAAAACATACACCATATTCACTGTATGGACCTGTGGCCCTTTTTTCTTCATTTTCATACAGCGGTAGAAATCTGTAGGTGATGATACTGTATATATATTCTGTACTGTCTTCATTTTCGCCCTCTTTGCTCAGGTGAAGTTCCTGTCCTGTTGCCATCTGTAGTGTTGGTGTACATTGAAACTTCTAGTGGCTGCTGTATTTGCCTTTTGAGTTCTTATCCAGTGTTGCCAGGTACAAACAACCCCCAGAATTCAGCTGTCTGGGAAATCTCAATTACTTGCTACGTGCTTGGAACTTTTAATTTCAGTAATAGCTGCTGAACGTAGGGAAGGCTGTGTGAAGCAATCGAGTGCAGCAAAACCAGCTAAGATTTAGGAGTTGTGGTTTATGATGGATTAGCTGAGTCAAGGGAAACTGAGCACCCAAAGAAACCTAAGACTTCTGACAGTCTGCTCTGTCTTGTGGCTGACAGTAATTGCTTCATAGGACAACATTGACTTATGAAACAGTACATCTGCCTTCACATGCGTATTTTTCTTTTTAGACAAGGTTTCCAGTTTTACTTGTATACAGTGCAACTGCAGGACTGTCTCCAGGTCTTAAAACTTCCTGAAAAGTCTTAGCACCTATTCACAGCACACGACCTTTTGTAGTCATACTTAATATGACTGTTGATCATGTTGATTTATCAACAGAATACTTGAGTATTGTCTATCAATAAATATTTTGCTTCTGGGGGGGGAGAGTTTTTTCTGCTGTTGGGCAGACTGGAAGATTAATCTTTTTAAATGATTCCTGGCATTGCAGCCTTATGCTGTGTCATCAGTGCTCTTTCCATCTTGGCACTCTTTTAGGGGGAAGAGAAGTCATTAGTGATGGCACTTAGCTACCCAGCTGTAGGCCCCAATGTTCTAAGTCACGGTTGGTGTATTTTTAAGACTTCTTCAAATACTCGAGTAGCACAAGTCACATTATTGTGATAGAAGATGTTTCCACTAGAGTTTTGTGAGATACAGGTCAGAAGTTTAACTGCTTTTCCAGCCTGTCAGAAGAAACTGGTAAGAAACCATTTCATCTGTGATCTGGAAGTTGCACTCTTGTCAAGAGCAGGCTTGACTAACAGTACAGAAACTACCAGGCTGTGCTATCCTGGTGACAGATGTATTACTTGTCAGTGATCCTAACTTTTGGATTAAGTAAACCAGCACTTGCTGCTTCTGTTAGTGGTAATCTAAGTAAAAGAACTGTGATAAGATACATGTAGCTTGGCTTGAAAGAGATACTGTCGAGACAGATCCTTCATGTTTCTGAGAATGTTTGATAGAGTTATGGTGAGCTAATTATGTAGAAAGAGGCTATGGGGTAGTATGTTATTCAGCAAGGGTAAAATTAGCAGCCTCTTCAGTAGGCAGTTCTGAGATGCTTTTCTATGTTTGTGTATCTGGACATGGATTTTTTTTGTATGTTTACTGAGTATTCCCAAAGTTCTTGAAAACGCAAAGCTCAGCAGGATAGGCTGTCAACCAGGCTTTGATTTTTCTGTAGACACAATATCATGTAGCTAAAAAAAATCCCCCCCAGACAAGCCAGACTTTTGCTTTCTCTTCACACTTAAGTGAACTCTCCTCTTTATTCTCTTTTCTTATGTGGCGATTACAAAAATACTGAAGTTTTTGACTTGTCATATTTTAAGACCATTTACTGAAAAGCAGTATCTGTGATTGTAACTGCTAAAGCTTTGCATACTGTTACAGAAGACTGCTGTCATGTGGTGTCCAAGGAATGACTCTTTTGTAACCATTAATGTGCTTTATTTTGAAATTGGCACTGGTTCCTTCGTGATGCATTGCTGATTACGCACATTGTGCCGTGGAGCTGTTCAGCTTCTCTGGGCAACCTGTTCCAGTGTCTCACCACCCTCATGGTGAAGAATTTCTTCCTAATATCTAATCTAAATCTGCCCTCTTTTAGTTTACAGCTGTTCCCCCTTGTCCTATCACTACACACCCTTGTGAAAAGTCCCTTTCCATCCTTCCTGTAGGCCCCTTCAGGTACTGGGAGGCTGCTATAAGGTCACCCCAGAGCCTGTGCTTCTCCAGGCTGAACAGCCCCAACTCTCTCAGCCTGTCCTCGTAGGAGAGGTGCTCCAGCCCTCGGATCATCTTTGTGACCCTCTTCTGGACCTGCTCCAATACATCCATGTCCTTCTTGTGCTGGGGCCCCAGAGCTGGACGCAGGACTCCAGGTGGGGTCTCAGGAGAGCGGAGTAAAGGGGCAGAACCACCTCCCTCGCCCTGCTGGCCACGCTTCGCTTGATGCAGCCCAGGGTGTAGTTGGCCTTCTGGGCTGCAAGCGCACATTGCTGGCTCATGCTGAGATTAAAATATTACATCTTACTTCGAGATAGCTAGAAAAAAACATCAATAATTACTGTATTCATGGGATCTTTGTTTTCAGGAATCTAGTGAGTTTTTGTTTTTTACTGCTTCTGTGATATAAACCCATGAAAACTTGTAAAGCTAGGGTTTTCGGTGAAAAGTAAAATGCCCATTCTTTCATTCTTGCCATTTCATTCTTGGCATGGTGTGGAATTTAGGAATAATTTAGTCTTGTATTACATAAAGCACGGAAATAATTCTATACATTAGTAGACTTAAAAAATCAGGCTTTTTATTTGAGCTGTGTCATCAATGAACTTAAACTCACCTCCTGAAATGAGGTGAATTCTGCCATCTCATTCATGCTGAAGGGCACGTGCTACTCCATCCTGTGCTGTTTGAATTCAGGTGGTTCTAAGATTCTCTGCCAAAAAGTGATGGCATGCTGCGTTGACAAATTACTATTTTCTGCAATGCGAATCTGGAGTAATAAGGTTTTGTAGTGTCTCCAGTAGGCTGTGGATGTGATGTAGAAAGCATGCAACGTTTAGAAAGGCTTAGTTTGAGAATGGAGAGAACATAAATCCATGCAGCCGATGACTTTTACGCTTTATATCTCTTAAGTCTGAGAGTATATTCAAATATTTGAATCAATTGTGTGTATGAATAAATGATATTTGTAGTATGGCAGCTAATCTGTTTACTTACATGTTGTTATTCCACTGTCTGTAGTAATTCAGGCAGCCTGTTCTGTGCTTCTGTCTCCTATAAAGCAGCAAAAATAATCTTGTTCAATTTTCACGTGCAGGTTGAAGTAGGATGACTAATATTGCGTGTATGTGTAGTTTGCTTACAGAACTTGTATATGTGCATTAGTATCCGGTGGTGTTCTGCTCGTATGAACTGTCACATCTCCAAAGTACTTAATTAAAGCTGTTTAAGAATATTAGGGAAGAATGCCACCTGGAGGTAATAGAAGGGAGTAGGTGGCTGAATAGTACAACAATTCAGCGAAGTTGCTTTCGGAGTTGTGCCGGACGCTGTCTGACAAGGGTGCTGAGAAGGGTACATGCCAGGCAGGGTTAGAGGGGACATTGCAAACGTGCAGAGGGAATGGGCGGAGTACGTTGTGCGACAGAGCGATGGGAGACTCAGCTGCTGTGAGGGGAAGGAGGAAGAGAGGAGCGGAGCTGGACGGAGCTTTCCACGTGAAAACTGAGGGTCTGGACTGTAATGAAAAATAAGGGTGATAGCTGGATGGTGCCTGTTGGCAGAGTGATGGCTGAGGGAATGAACTCAACTGCTGCTTTTTTGAACCGAGAGGACCAAAATTTGGCTTTTAAAAGATGATTGCTGTCATTCAGGCAAACCTAAAGAACACAAGCAAGCTTGGCAGAAGGATTGAAAGGGAAGGGGCAGGTTTAGAGAAACTGTGAGGAGGGGGATAGGATCTCGTAGTTTGAAACCAACCAAAAAGGAAGAAGCTGACCAGAGCAGCACAAGGGCAAGCCCTGGGAGACAACAGGCAACACCCGTTCGCAAAAGGTGTTTAGAAGCCTGCATGCCTCTTGAAGCTCCATTTAATTTATTGTTCAGACTGTCAGTCACAAATTCTGGAGCAATTATTGGTGGTGGTGGTGGTTACTAAAAGAGATAAAACCTTTAATTATCTATTGAGCAAAGACTGCTTTTAATGACTCGTATACAAGAGGACTGGCCACTAGTATGTCAGAAGGAATGCCCGGAATCTGCTGGATAAGCTTCACAAAAAGGCTCCATCCTTCAAAAATTTCAGTCAAAATACTTTAACATTTGCATCTCACTTCTTGGTGACAAATGAGATAACAAGCATTTTGTAAAAATCAGAGGTAAAATCAGGAAGACTGTCAGTGATGCCCAAAAAGGTAGATGGTTCCTGGGAAAAGCACTGTAGACATATACTGCGAAAGTTATGGATAAATCACAATAACTGTAAAATGTATCCACTACAGCGGCTTTAAAGATATAGAGACTATTCTAGGGAGGGAAAATGATCTTATTTTTATCTCCATCAAGATTCTGATACTTGACTAAGGGCCACTGTAATTGAGGTCCCTTCCTATCCTTGCAGCTCATGTAGTTTCTTCTGTTCCATCCAGTATGTGGATCTGGAGACTCCTCTTCCTCTAGCAAAGAAATCCAGCTTTGAGGTTGAGAGATGCAGCTGGCATCACGCACAGTCAAAAGATAATCAGTTATGCATTCCATTTATTTCAGAGAGAACAAATTCAGCAGTTGCATGCTCATGAAATCTATTGTTTTCCCATAACTCAACAATTGACACCCAGGGATTTTTATGATATACCAGAAGAGGATATCCCAGGTCCATGCAGGTGCATTTGATCTGTGGATCGTCTGTGCAGTTTTTTCTAGCAAGAAGGTGCGAGTCGTAGATGTTATGGCTGATTGTATGACTGAAATTATTTCTCAGTGCGCTTCCTGAATGAGGCCTTTGTCATGTGCTGTTACTTTTTTTTTTTTTTTTAATTCTGATGTGCTTTGTAGGTAGGCAGGACACCTGAACAAGTGCAATCAGGGGAGCCGCGTCAATACAACTGATTGGGTTGTCAGGGATGTCCACAGTGACAGCAGACATCTCTCCGTCATGTGCACTGTTGCGGAAGTCAGCATCTGCAAATTCAGAGAAATACGGCTGCTCCAGAGCTGTATGCAAGAGGTATGTGGTGTTTCCACCGTATGTAAATCCCACTTCTGTGCACTGAAAGCCAGCACACAGGGCTTGCTCACTGTCACCAAGGGAGTGGACCTTTTGCCTGGCTTGGGCACAAATATGGCCTTACAAGTCAGACTTTCATGCTTGTCAATATAATGGATCTTGTTCCAGAAATCTGTGAGAATTTCCATGGTGCAGGACTGCTGAGATCTCCAGGCTGCAAACTGCAAGTTGAGCTTGTATTTATTGCAGTCATAGAGCTGAGTGAAATTGCTAATTGCACGGCTGAGTAAGGTCAGCCACCTTTCTTCAAACAGCATCCTGGAGTTTCTCAAATCTATGCTCTAATCCTTGGCAACATGTACCATGCTAGTGACCCAGCTGCTGCTGCCGGGTGTCCCGGGTCAAGACTGCAATCTGGGAGCCACTAGTAGTCACAAGTAAGAAAACGTTGTCAGGAAATGTAGTGCTTTGAAAGGTCTCTGAGGGCATGATAGTTACTTCTTCCACGATCAAGCCGTTGTTAGTGGATATAAGTAAAGTCTCTGTTGTCCAGAGAATGATGAAACCCCTCAAGGCAAGATTCTGGATCCTCCAAAGCTTGTCAGGGCCTGTGGGCAGCAGCTGGAAGGTGGTAGAGCTATGGATGGACATAGGGCTGCTTTTGGTACCGTTGCATCTAAAATAAGCCGCTGCTGCCTTTCCTGCCCCATCCTCTGCGCTTCTGTCAATCAACAGGCCAGTCACAGTAAAAGAGATGAAACTGCAGACTCTAAGCAGCACTCCTTGCTCTCCCGTACTGGTCTCAACACATGCAAACACGTAACCCCTGGCCTGTGAAAGATGTGGCTGTTGGAGGCTGGGCGCCTGGTGTCCTAAGCAAAGCTCCTTGCACTGGGAGTCTGCTTCTGTGTAGTAGCAAGGGGTGTTTGAGAGTCTGGATGTGAGGGATACGTATCCCACTGATGGGACCCACCTGTTGAAGCTCTTCAAATAGATATAGACCTGGCTGTTGACCACCATCAAGACCCTCTTCTTGTGCATGAAGGCAATGGGGCTGACAACAGCTTTCTTGGCCTCAAGCTCTTTGGGGATGGAGAGTAGGGAAA